CGTACCCATGCACAGCTACTTGGTGCTGGTACTCCCTGTATTTAGCCATGTTATTTTTTATCTTTAACTCTGAATTGTTGAAAAAGGACCCGTAAGTAAGCTTTTCACTGTTAGTCTACACCCGTTTACGAAGCAGGTGACAAATAAAATGTGATTTGATACAATAATCTGCAGGTGATTTCTGTAGCAGTGCAGACTAGTAGAGATGATTGATTGACACACACACACACACACACACCAAGGATGAAATGGACCACGAGGAGCTAGAGTCAACACAATAAGAGGATGCCTCACACTGGGCTTCTTTCACATACCGGGTGGAACTTAACTTCACGTTGCCTGATGGCTCTGTTTTTGTCTCAGGCTGGCATAAGGTTAGCCTGGTCCCAGATCTGTTTAAGCTGTCATGCCAACTACAGTGCCATCAGAAAGTATTCATACCCCTTGACTTATTCCACATTTTGTGTTACAGTCTGAATTCAACATGGATCAAATATACTTTATGTTTTTTTGTCACCCATCTACACAATTCCCCATAATGTCAAAGTGAAAACATGTTTTAAGAAATGTTAGCAAATTTATTGAAAATGAAATACAGAAATATATCATTTACATAAGTATTCACACACCTGAGTCAATACATGTTAGAATCACCTTTGGCAGCGATTACAGCTGTGAGTCTTTCTGGGTAAGTCTTTAAGAGCTTTGCACCCCTGGATTGTGCAATATTTGCATTATATTAAAACAATAAAAAATCAAGCTCTGTCAAGTTGGTTGTTGATCATTGCTAGACAGACATTTGAAAGTCTTGCCATAGATTTAAGCCGATTTTTTTAAATCAAAACTGTAGCTAGGCCACTCAGGAACATTCAATGTCGTCTTGGTAAGCAAGACCAGTGTGTATTTGGCCTTGTGTTTTAGGTTCTTGTCCTGCTGAAAGGTGAATTTGTCTCCCAGTGTCTGTTGGAAAGCAGTCTGAACCAGGTTTTCCTATAGGATTTTGCCTGTGCTTAGCGCTATTCTGTTTAATTGTTATCCTAAAAAAACGTCCTAGTCCTTGCTGATGACAACCATACCCATAACATGATGCAGCCACCACCATGCTTGAAAATATGAAAAGTGGTACTCAGTGACATTGTGTTGGATTTTCCCCAAACGTAACGCTTTGTATTCAGGACATAAAGTTAATTTATTTGCCACTTTTTTTGCAGTTTTACTTTAGAGCCTTATTGCAAACAGGATGCATGTTTTGGAATATTTGTATATTTTACAGGCTTCTTTCTATTCACATTACGATTAGTATTGTGGAGTAACTACAATGTTGTTGCTCCAGTCTCTGTTTTCTCCTATCACAGCCATTAAACTCTAACTGTTTTAAAGTCAAATCAAATCAAATCAAATTGTATTGGTCACATGCGCCGAATACAACAGGTGCAGACATTACAGTGAAATGCTTACTTACAGCCCTTAACCAACAGTGCATTTATTTTTATAAAAAAATAAAACAACAAAAAATAAAACAACAACAAAAAAAGTGTTGAGAAAAAAAAGAGCAGAAGTAAAATAAAATAACAGTAGGGAGGCTATATATACAGGGAGGGTACCGTTGCAGAGTCAATGTGCGGGGGCACCGGCTAGTTGAGGTAGTTGAGGTAATATGTACATGTGGGTAGAGTTAAAGTGACTATGCATAAATAATTAACAGAGTAGCAGCAGCGTAAAAAGGATGGGGTGGGGGGGCAGTGCAAATAGTCCGGGTAGCCATGATTAGCTGTTCAGGAGTCTTATGGCTTGGGGGTAGAAGCTGTTGAGAAGTCTTTTGGACCTAGACTTGGCACTCCGGTACCGCTTGCCGAACAGTTTATGACTAGGATGGCTGGAGTCTTTGACAATTTTGAGGGCCTTCCTCTGACACCGCCTGGTATAGAGGTCCTGGATGGCAGGAAGCTTGGCCCCAGTGATGTACTGGGCCGTACGCACTACCCTCTGTAGTGCCTTGCGGTCGGAGGCCAAGCAGTTACCATACCAGGCGGTCTCATCGTTGTCGGTGATCAGGCCTACCACTGTTGTGTCGTCGGCAAACTTAATGATGGTGTTGGAGTCGTGCCTGGCCATGCAGTCATGGGTGAACAGAGAGTACAGGAGGGGACTGAGCACGTACCCCTGAGGGGCCCCCGTGTTGAGGATCAGTGTGGCAGATGTGTTGTTACCTACCCTTACCACCTGGGGGCGGCCCGTCAGGAAGTCCAGGATCCAGTTGCAGAGGGAGGTGTTTAGTCCCAGGATCCTTAGCTTAGTGATGAGCTTAGAGGGCACTATGGTGTTGAATGCTGAGCTGTAGTCAATGAATAGCATTCTCACGTAGGTGTTCCTCTTGTCCAGGTGGGAAAGGGCAGTGTGGAGTGCAATAGAGATTGCATCATCTGTGGATCTGTTGGGGCGGTATGCAAATTGGAGTGGGTCTAGGGTTTCTGGGATAATGCTGTTGATGTGAGCCATGACCAGCCTTTCAAAGCACTTCATGGCTACAGACGTCAGTGCTACGGGTCGGTAGTCATTTAGGCAGGTTATCTTAGAGTCCTTGGGCACGGGGACTATGGTGGTCTGCTTGAAACATGTTGGTATTACAGACTCAGTCAGGGACATGTTGAAAATGTCAGTGAAGACACTTGCCAGTTGGTCAGCACATGCTCGGAGTACACGTCCTGGTAATCCGTTTGGTCCTGCGGCCTTGTGAATGTTGACCTGCTTAAAAGTCTTACTCACATCGGCTACGGAGAGCGTGATCACATAGTCATCCGGAACAGCTGGTGCTCTCATGCATGCTTCAGTGTTGCTTGCCTCGAAGCGAGCATAGAAGTGGTTTAGCTCGTCTGGTAGGCTTGTGTCACTGGGCAGCTCGCGGCTGTGCTTCCCTTTGTAGTCTGTAATAGTTTTCAAGCCCTGCCACATCCGACGAGCGTCAGAGCCAGTGTAGTACGATTCAATCTTAGTCCTGTATTGACTCTTTGCCTGTTTGATGGTTCGTCGGAGGGCATAGCGGGATTTCTTATAAGCGTCCGGGTTAGAGTCCCGTTCTTTGAAAGCGGCAGCTCTACCCTTTAGCTCAGTGCAGATGTTTCCTGTAATCCATGGCTTCTGGTTGGGGTATGTAGGTACGGCCATTGGTCTCATGGTGAAATCCCTGAGCGGTTTCCTTTCTCTCCGGCAACTGAGTTAGGAAGGACGTCTGTGTCTTTGTAGTGACTGGATGTATTGATACACCGTCCAAAGTGTAATTCATAACTTCACCATGCTCAAAGGGATATTCAATCTCTGTTTTTTTTTTTTTTTTACCCATCTACCAATGTGTCCTTCTTTGCAAGGCATTGGAAAACCTCCCTGTAATTTGTGGTTGAATCCGTGTTTGAAATTCACTGCTCGACTGAGGGACCTTACAATTATCTGTATGTGTGGGGTACAGAGATTAGGTAGTCATTCAAAAATCATGTTAAACTATTACTGCCACAGAGTGAGTCCATGCAACTTATTATGTGACTTGTTAAGTACATTTATACTCCTGAACTAATTTAGGCTTGCCAGAACAAAGGTGTTGAATACTTATTGACTCAAGACATTTCAGCGTTTCATTTCTAAAAACAATTCCACTTTGACGTTATGGGGTATTGTGTGGAGGCCAGTGACTCAATCTCAATTAATCTATTTTAAATTCAGTCTGTAACACAACAAAATGTGGAAAAGGTCAAGGGGTGTGAATACTTTCTAAATGCACTGTATATGGTCAATAGGGCATGACAATGACCACCAAAGGAGTTGGCAAGAGAGCACAAACAGATATGTGATGAGGCTAGCATAAGATGAGATGTGACACATTTTAGAATAACACACTGTCTTTCACAGGATGTAGCCAGGTCATATAAAAGCTAGAAGTGAAGAACAGAGGCACATTCTCTGCCAACAGAATCATGTTTAGTTGATCTTGTGGCTTCAAAGCCTGTGAGAATTTAGTAAAAACAGACACATAGCAGTGTGTTAGTTCAGTGTGGATGGACAGTATTTCATTGTGTAGTTCTAAGTCAAAGATACATTTTTCTAAATATGTTTTTATTGTAAATTGTCAGCAAAACAATTGCTGTGGGAGGCTGGTGGCATAATCACATAGCAAATTTAGACATTGACTATAAAAGCCAGGCATGCGGTGTGGAACATCAACATGTAGGCCTTATCACCCACACACAGAAGCCACGAGCGTTTCCTGTGGCCGCACCAGCCTGTGCCCCACCATAGCATGTACACAATCCACTGTTTCCTTTTCAACTAGACCAGGGCCTGTATTCACGAAGAATCTTAGAGTATTAGCGCTGATCTATGATCAGTTTTGTCTTTTAGATCAGAATTAATATGATTACATGGAATAGGGGTCAACCTGATACTAGATCAGCACACATGCTCTAACGCTTTTTGAATACTGGCCCTGTTATCATTGTAGAACACAGTAACCATCTGCTGTTATAGTTACACAATAATGAAACCTGGCAATGCTCTGAATTCAACATGACATCCAATGAGGATGATCACATCTCATGCGATGCGTGCCGATTTCTTCCTTACATGCTACAGGTAACTGACAAAATAAAGGAAACACCAACATAGTGTCTTAATTTAATAAGGCGTTGGGCCACCACGAGCCGCCAGAACAGCTTCAATGCGCCTTGGCATAGATTCTACTAAGTGTCTGGAACTCTATTGGAGGGATGCGACGCCATTCTTCCACGAGATATTCCATCATTTGGTGTTTTGGCGCCGCTCCAGAATCTCCCATAAGTGTTCAATTGGGTTGAGATCTGGTGGCTGAAATGGCCATGGCATATCGTGAAACATCAGCAAGTTGAGCAGTCTTCGTCACTGAAGCTCCTGCCAAATGTGCCCCAACAATCAACCTCTTTCAAAAAAACTGAAATGGTGTGTGTGATGTAGGATGTTTTTGTGTTCTTCCCAGGCTTGTTGATGACAGGTGTGTGGTGCAGCCGGACGCAGGAGACCTGGCCATTCCGCCCAAAAAGTTCAGAGGTGAGTGGGAGGAGTCAATGACTAGCTGGCCAACCACAGAGTCCTGAGTCCTTACTAATATAGTTGTATTTGAATGAATTAACTCACAGCTTTTCTGCCAAGTTAGCAGTGAGGGGCAGTCTAGTAGTGCAGCATGCCATGGTTACTGCAGTCCACACACACACACACACACACAAACACCCTCCCAAGGCTGAGCAGGCCACTATAGCTCCATGTTGTTTTAACAGTGTGGTTTACAGGATGAGGTTTAAGTGTTTAACTGACTTTACAGAATCCCATTGAGTAAACAGCCATTAACCACAAACATGGTATATACCCCCACCCAGTCACACAGACTCAAGTGACAGTTAAAGTGACACATTGCCAACATGTAAAGTGTTGGTCCCATGTTTTATGAGCTGATATAAAATATCCCAGAATTTTTCAATCGCTTATTTCTCAAAAATGTTGTGGACAAATTTGTTAACATCCCTGTTAGTGAGCATTTATTTTTTTGCCAAGATAATCCATCCACCTGACAGGTATGGCATATCAAGAAGCTGATTAAACAGCATGATCATTCCACAGGTGCACCTTGTGCTGGGGACAATAAAAGGCCACTCTAAAATGTGCAGGATCTTTTTTGTTGTTGTTGTTGTTATTTTAGCATTTTAGGATCTTCTGAGAACAGCCACCCGGACAGCTGATGAAACTGTGGGTTTGCACAACCGAAGAAGTTCTGCACAAACTGTCAGAAACCGTCACAGGGAAGCTCATCTGTGTTGTCGTCGTCCTCACCAGGGTCTTGACCTGACCGCAGTTCGGCGGCATAACCGACTTCAATGGGCAAATGCTCACCTTCAATGGCCACTGGCATGCTGGAGAAGTGTGCTCTTCACAGATGAACCCCGGTTTCAACTGTACTGGGCAGATGGCGTCGTGTGGGCGAGCGGTTTGCTGATGTCAACGTTGTGAACAGAGTGCCCCATGGTGGCGATGGGGTTATGGTATGGGCAGGCATAAGCTACGGACAACAAAGACAATTGCATTTTAGTGATGGCAATTTGAATGCAGAGAGATAACGTGACGAGATCCTGAGGCCCATTATCGTGCCATTCATTCGCAGTCATCACCTCATGTTTCAGCATGATAATGCACGGCCCCATGTCGCAAGGATCTGTACACAATTCCTGGAAACTGAAAAAGTCCCAGTTCGTCCATGGCATGAATACTCACCAGACATGTCACCCATTGAGCATGTTTGGGATGCTCTGTATGTTAGGGATGCTCTGGATCACGGAGCTGGTGGATGTTAGAGACATTGCACTCCTCCACCTTCCGTTTGAGGATGCCCCACAGATGCTCAATAGGGTTTAGGTCTGGAGACATGCTTGGCCAGTCCATCACCTTTACCCTCAGCTTTCTTAGCAAGGCAGTGGTCGTCTTGGAGGTGTGTTTGGGGTCGTTATCATGTTGGAATATTGCCCTGCGGCCCAGTCGCCGAAGGGAGGGGATCATGCTCTGCTTCAGTATGTCACAGTACATGTTGGCATTCATGGTTCCCTCGATGAACTGTAGCTCCCCAGTGCCGGCAGCACTCATGCAGCCCCAGACCCGTGACACTCCCACCACCACGCTTGACTGTAGGCAAGACACACTTGTCTTTGTACTCCTCACCTGGTTGCCGCCACACACACTTGACACCATCTGAACCAAATAAGTTTATCTTGGTCTCATCAGACCACAGGTCATGGTTTCAGTAATCCATGTCCTTAGTCTGCTTGTCTTCAGCAAACTGTTTGCGGGCTTTCTTGTGCGTCATCTTTAGAAGAGGCTTCCTTCTGGGACAACAGCTATGCAGACCAATTTGATGCAGTGTGCGGCGTATGGTCTGAGCACTGACAGGCTGACCCCCCCACCCCTTCAACCTCTGCAGCAATGCTGGCAGCACTCATACGTCTATTTCCCAAAGACAACCTCTTGATATGACGCTGAGCACGTGCACTCAACTTCTTTGGTCGACCATGGCGAGGCCTGTTCTGAGTGGAACCTTTCCTGTTAAACCGCTGTATGGTCTTGGCCACTGTGCTGCAGCTCAGTTTCAGGGTCTTGGCAATCTTCTTATAGCCCAGGCCATCTTTATGTAGAGCAACAATTCTTTTTTTCAGATCCTCAGAGAGTTCTTTGCCATGCGGTGCCATGTTGAACTTCCAGTGACCAGTATGAGGGAGTGTGAGAGCGATGACACCAAATTTAACACACCTGCTCCCCATTCACACCTGAGACCTTGTAACACTAACGAGTCACATGACACTGAGGAGGGAAAATGGCTAATTGGGCCCAATTTGGACATTTTCACTTAGGGGTGTACTCACTTTTGTTGCCAGCGATTTAGACATTAATGGCTGTGTTGAGTTATTTTGAGGGGACAGCAAATTTACACTGTTATACAAGCTGTACACTCACTACTTTACATTGTAGCAAAGTGTCATTTCTTCAGTGTTGTCACATGAAAAGATGTACTCAAATATTTACAAAAATGTGAGGGGTGTACTCACTTTTGTGAGATACTGTATGTATCTGTGACCAACAGATGCATATCTGTATTCCCAGTCATGTGAAGTCCATAGATTAGGGCTTAATGAATTTATTTCACTTGACTGATTTCCTTATATGAACTGCAACTCAGTAAAATCTTTGAAATTGTTTCATGTTGCATTTTTATATTTTTGTTCAGTGTAGTATGTTTGTCTGTGTGATTCATGTGTACAGTTGAAGTCGGATGTTTACATACACTTCGGTTGGAGTCATTAAAACTTGTTTTTCAACCACTCCACAAATTTCTTGTTAACAAACTATAGTTTTGGCAAGTCGGTTAGGACATCTACTTTGTGCATGACACAAGTAATGTTTCCAACAATTGTTTACAGACAGATTATTTGACTTATAATTCACTGTATCACAATTCCAGTGGGTCAGAAGTTTATATACAATAAGTTGACTGTGCCTTTAAACAAAAAACAATCCGCAACTATAAACACCATGGGACCACGCAGCCGTCATACCGCTCAGGAAGGAAACGCATTCTGTCTCCTAGAGATTAACGTACTTTGGTGCGAAAAGTGCAAATCAATCCCAGAACAACAACAAAGGACCTTGTGAAGATGCTGGAGGAAACAGGTACAAAAGTATCTACAGTAAAACGAGTCCTATATCAACATAACCTGAAAGACCGCTCAGCTAGAAAGAAGCCACTGCTCCAAAACCGCCATAAAAAAGCCAGAGTACGGTTTGCAATTGCACATGGGGACAAAGATCGTACTTTTTGGAGAAATGTCCTCTGGTCTGATGAAACAAAAATATAACTGTTTGGCCATAATGACCATCGTTATGTTTGGAGGAAAAAGGGGATTGGCTTGCAAGCCGGAGAACACCATCCCAACCGTGAAGCACGGGGGTGGCATCATCATGCTGTGGGGGTGCTTTGCTGCAGGAGGGACTGGTGCACTTCACAAAATAGATGGCATCATGAGGAAGGAAAATTATGTGGATATATTGAAGCAACATCTCAAGACATCAGTCAGGAAGTTAAAGCTTGGTTGCAAATGGGTTTTCCAAATGGACAATTACCCCAAGCATACTTCCAAAGTTGTGACAAAATGGCTTAACCACAACAAAGTCAAGGTATTGGAGTAGCCATCACAAAGCCCTGACCTCAATCCTATAGAACATTTTGTGGGCAGAACTGAAAAAGCGTGTGCGAGTAAGGAGGCCTACAAACCGGACTCAGTTACACCAGCTCTGTCAGGAGGAATGGGCCAAAATTCACCCAACTTTATGTGGGAAGCTTGTGGAAGGCTACCGGAAACGTTTGACCCAAGTTAAACAATTTAAAGGCAATGCTTCCAAATACTAATTGAGTGTATGTAAACTTCTGACCCACTGGGAATGTGATGAAAGAAATAAAAGCTGAAATAAATAATTATCTCTACCATTATTCTGACATTTCACATTCTTAAAATAAAGTGGTGTTCCTAACTGACCTAAGACAGGGAATTTTTACTAGGATTAAATGTCAGGAATTGTGAAAAACAGAGTTGCAATGTATTTGGCTAAGGTGTATGTAAACTTCCGACTTCAACTGTATGTATTCCTCACTCTCGCTCACTCACCTCCCTTCCTGTTTCTATTTCTTGATCTTTCTTTGTCTTTTTCTCCCCTATCCATCTCTCTTTTCCTCTCTCTCTCCAGACTGCCTGTTCAAGGTATGTCCGATGAACAGGTACTCAGCTCAGAAGCAGTTCTGGAAGGCCAAACAGGGCAAACAAGGCAACAATGACACAGAAGGAGACCTATTCAAGAAGTTACAGGTATGACCTTTCTCCAAGTCCTAGTGTAATTCATTCACGGTCCTGGGCACGACACCCACAGGGTGTGCAGGATTTCGATCCATCCTAGTACTAACACAATTGATTCACCTAATCAAGGGCTTGATCATTATTATAGTTGATTAGTCTAATCAAGTATGTTAGTAGTGGGCTAGAACAAAAGTCTGCACACCCTGTGGGTCCCAAGGACCTGGATTGAAAAGCACTGCTTTAAGGCAAACAGGATCAGTTTGAGCAAGGCGAGGCACAGATTCGCTGATCTTGATCACATAATAAGTAGTAATTTGGGATGCAACGTGATTTGTAGATCGGTGATTCTGTGCAATCTGACTACAATGTAGTTAGCCTCAAGCATGTTTTTCTTCATTTCCCAGCATGCAGCAGAACTGGAACAGAAGCAAAATGACACAGAGAATAAGAAGCTGCTGGGAGAGGTGGTCAAGTACAGTAATGTCATCCAGGTAACGGCCAACTACAGCCAACTTCCCTTTCTTATCAGAGACGATCTCTCTGTTTGCTTTGTGCCCGTAACCTTGTGTATGTTTTCACTTGGTCACCAAAAGGCTGCCTTTCTGTCTGTAGTCTGGCCTGTAGAGCCTCACATTGCCAATGAGGTGATTTGACAGACTACATTTTGAATGGCACATAGTAAATTAAGCTTGTATCATTTCCAATTTTCAGTTAACTGCAGGTTTGTTCCATGTGGTTTCATGAGGCTTGTGGCCTCTAACTCTGCTTAAAACCGTCGTATTGAAGGATTTCAAAGGAATTAGTTTGGTCAGTTCCAGTCTCGCCACATGATTTGGCTGTTAAAAGATAAGGCTTTTTCATTTAGTGCTCTGTGTGCTTCTTTAAAGCTAAAGTCAATTTGAATGATCTATCCAGAAACGGGACTCTTTTATATGATGAGAATAGAATTTGGGTAATGTTCTGATCCCTAATACCAAGCAGAAACTAAATTAAAAGGCTTTTGAAGTCAATTCCAAATAAAGTATAGACAAATTCTGAGCTCATAACAAATTGGTTTGATGATTGAATAAATTAGCCCTACATCTCGCTTTAATAAAGATACCAAATTCTAACGGTAACTGTTTCTTAGCAATAAATACATGTGATTGGTAAATATTAGAGTTAGGTGTTGGGGTGGGATTTGAACCAGGGACCTTGTGTATGACCTTGTGTTGTGAATGATGTGTCCTAGTGAATTGGCTCCATTTTATTTTCACCTCAGCTTCTGCATATAAAAAGTAACAAGTACCTGACAGTGAACAAGCGTCTGCCGGCGCTGCTGGAGAAGAACGCCATGCGTGTGTCTCTGGACCCAGCCGGCAATGAGGGCTCCTGGTTCTACATCCAGCCCTTCTGGAAGCTCCGCAGCGAGGGCGATAATGTAGGTACCTTTAGTGCTGATCTTGGATCTGTGTAGCTCAGTTGGTAGAGCATGGCGCTTGCAACGCCAGGGTTGTGGGTTCGATTTCCACGGGGGACCAGTATGAAAAATGTATGCACTCACTAACTGTAAGTCACTCTGGATAAGAGCGTCTGCTAAATGACTAAAATGTAAATGTAAGTCCTCCCTGTCTATATAATCTTAATCATTGTGATCTGAAAAGCAAAACATGATCCTAGATCAGCGCTCTTACTCTGAGACTCTTTATGAAAAGGAGCTTGACCTAACTGTAACTACAGGCCACTGCTTTGAAGATGCCCTATAACTAGGGCCAGGAGTTTTTCCCGAACAAAAACTCCTAGCCCTACTTACCATAGATATGTTATGGCATACCAAACCTCATAATGAACCTCAGTATTGTTGAGATGTTTAAGTTGTGAGAGGATGTTTTTTTCTTTAAGGACTGTCTTAATATTGCAAATGTCCTGTTTTAATTACATTGGTATTATGTCCATGTCAAGGTAATGTCTTCATCCTGCTGAAATAACTCGACTGGTTGTCTCCTTTCCTTTGCTTTAGCATCCTATGGTGGAAGGTATTCTTCTTGTTTGAAGTGCATGGTGTGTGTGTGTTTAGGCCATGAGCATTGCTGTGAAAGCATGGTAGCACTAGCCTTGTATGAGCATTGAAAAACTTAAGTACGTGTTGGCATTTCTACTACTCTTCTACAATTTGCTATTTTTTCCCTTAACTCTTATTGACTAACAAGATCTGGGAGATTTAGATTACAGCAATGATATAGATGCTTAGTTATTGTATTGGAATTGCCTGCATTTAAGTGAAACTCTTCTCTTGTCATTTTGTTGAGTCTATTTACAGTCTGTTTATTATGATATGTATGTGGTTTGAATGTAGATGTTTGAGACTATGGTGCATACAGTACACTGCATTCAGCAATTCCCGCTACTAAAACACATTACTGTATAAATGAATGTCAATGCGCTGTGTACACCCCACAGGCTACACTTCCTTCATTGTACCATGGTTTGTGCTCATCTGCTATTTAAAACGGCACACAGAAAAAGCCCATCTCCCTGGCTTGCATTGTTGTGGGGAATGCTTATCCCTAGATAGATGGTACACTTTGCATGGGACAGGGTGTGACTGTGGACCTTTGCTGTTTGACGTGTGTCAGATCCTCTCATTCCTCTGTGCTGTGATTTGCCTCATTTATATGTGTGTTATATTTTATTCTACTTAACTCTATTTGTAATAATGTGTATGCTAGTGTCTGACCTGTGTGGTTGGTCCCTAGGTGGTGGTGGGGGACAAGGTGGTCCTGATGCCTGTGAACGCAGGGCAGCCTCTCCATGCCAGCAACATTGAGCTGTTAGACAACCCCGGCTGCAAGGAGGTAAGATCCATTGAACTGTTTGATTAGAGCTATAGTACTGATTGACTATGTAAAAATATACTGGATACTATGCATGGCAAAACGGTGCAGAAGGATGACGGCTATGTTATCTGTCCCAGCATGCAATCTCCAACAATTCCTGCATTGTTGTGTTTTTGAAGACTCCAAAAAAAGCTGCTGGTCAGCAGGTTTGTCTTCTAAGCGTGTATGATGAGATGCGAGTTGCAGAATTTCGAATCCAGGCGGCAATTCGAATCTAGGCATGTTTTTGTTTAGGCGTGTCTTTGTTTTCTAACCTTATCCTAACCTTAACTACTTGCTAGTACACCTAAACTTACCCTAACCCCCAACCCTTACCTTAACCACTCGCTAGCATGCCTTAACAATAACCTTACCCTAACGTCTAACCCTAACCACTTGCTAAATCAACTGTATCATAACATGCGTTTGGAAACCTGCCTGGTTTTTGGTATTAAGAACGTTAAGTCTAGTGGTAGCGCTGCAGACAACAGTCCACACATACCCGCTGGTAACGGGGTTACGAATGCCACCTCTGCCCCTACTCTGTCTCTCCCTCTACCTTCCGACTATCACTGTCCATAAAAAGACCCTTCCTGGTTGCAGAACTGGCAAAGTTGCAGGTATGGGAAACCTGCTGACCAGCAGCTACACTACATGACAAAGTATGTACAGTCGTGGTCAAAAGTTTTGAGAATGACACAAATACTAATTTTCACAAAGTCTGCTGCCTCAGTTTTGATGATGGCAATATGCATATACTCCAGAATGTCATGAAGAGTGATCAGATGAATTGCAATTAATTGCAAATCCCTCTTTGCCATGAAAATGAATTTAATCCCCCAAAAACTTTTCCACTGCATTTCAGCCCTGCCACAAAAGGACCAGCTGCCATCATGTCAGTGATTCTCTCGTTAACGCAAGGCTTGAGATCACTGTCATGCTGATTGAGTTAGAATAACAGACTGGTAGCTTTAAAAGGAGGGTGGTGCTTGAAATCATTGTTCTTCCTCTGTTAACCATGGTTACCTGCAAGGAAACACATGCCGTCATCATTGCTTTGCACAAAAAGGGCTTCACAGGCAAGGATATTGCTGCTAGTAAGATTGCATCTAAATCAACCATTTATCGGATCATCAAGAACTTCAAGGAGAGAGGTTCAATTGTTGTGAAGAAGGCATTAGGGTGCCCAAGAAAGTCCAGCAAGCGCCAGGACCGTCTCCTAAAGTTGATTCAGCTGCGGGATCGTGGCACCACCAGTGCAGAGCTTGCTCAGGAATGGCAGCAGGCAGGTATGAGTGCATCTGCACGCACAGTGAGGCGCCGACTTCTGGAGAGGATGGCCTGGTGTCAAGAAGGGCAGCGAGGAAGCCACTTCTCTCCAGGAAAAACATCAGGGACAGACTGATATTCTGCAAAAGGTACAGGGATTGGACTGCTGAGGACTGGGGTAAAGTCATTTTCTCTGATGAATCCCCTTTCCGTTTGTTTGGGGCATCCGTAAAACACCTGGTCCGGAGAAGACAAGGTGAGCGCTACCATCAGTCCTGTGTCATGCCAACAGTAAAGCATCCTGAGACCATTCATTTGTGGGGTTGCTTATCAGCCAAGGGAGTGGGCTCACTCACAATGTTTCCTAAGAACACAGCCATGAATAAAGAATGGTACCAACACATCCTCCGAGAGCAACTTCTCCCAACCATCCAAGAACAGTTTGGTGACGACCAATGCCTTTTCCAGCATGATGGAGCACCTTGCCATAAGGCAAAAGTGATAACTAAGTGGCTCAGGAAAACAAAACATCGACATTTTGGGTCCATGGCCAGGAAACTCCCCAGGCCTTAATCCCATTGAGAACTTGTGGTCAATCCTCAAGAGGCGGGTGGACAAACAAAAACCCACAAATTCGGACAAACTCCAAGCATTGATTATGCAAGAATGGGCTGCCATCAGTCAGGATGTGGCCCAGAAGTTAATTGACAGCATGCCAGGGCGGATTGCAGAGGTCTTGAAAAAGAATGGTCAACCCTGTAAATATTGACTCTTTGCATAAACTTAGTCTTAGTCAGTAAAAGCCTTTGACACTTATGGAATGCTTGTAATTATACTTCAGTATACCATAGTAACATCTGACAAAAATATCTCATAACACTGAAGCAGCAAACTTTGTGAAGACCAATACTTGTGTCATTCTCAAAACTTTTGACCACAACTGTAGATACCTGCTCGTCGAACATCTCATTCGAAAAAATCATGGTCATTAGTATGGAGTGGGTCCCCCCTTTTGCTGCTATAACAGCTTCCACTCTTCTGCGAAGGCTTTCCACTAGATGTTGGAACATTGCTGCGGGGACTTGCTTCCATTCAGCCACGAGCATTAGTGAGGTCGGGCACTGATGTTGGGGGATTAGGCCTGGCTCGCAGTCGGCGTTCCAATTCATCCCAAAGGTGTTCGATGGGGTTGAGGTCAGGGCTCTGTGCAGGCCAGTCAAGATCTTCCACATCGATTTTGACAAACCAGTTTCTGTATGGACCTCGCTTTGTGCACTGGGGCATTGTCATGCTGAAACAGGAAATGGCCTTCCCCAAACTGTTGCCACAAAGTTGGAAGCACAGAATTATCTAGAATGTCATTGTATGTTGTAGTGTTAAGATTTCTCTTCACTGGAACTAAGTGGCCTAGACCGAACCATGAAAAACAGCCCCAGACCATTATTCCTCCTCCACCAAACTTTACAGTTGGTAGGTAGCGTTCTCCTGTCATCTGCCAAACCCAGAGTCGTCCGTCAGATTGCCAGATGGTGAAGCGTGATTCATCACTCCAGAGAACGCGTTTCCAATGGTAGCGAGCTTTACACCACTACAGCCGACGCATGGCATTGCGCATGGTGATCTTAGGCTTGTGCGGCTGCTCGGCCATGGAAACACATTTCATGAAGCTCCCGACAAACAGCTTTTGTGCTGATATTGCTTCCAGAGGCAGTTTGGAACTCGGTAGTGAGTGTTGCAACTGAGGACAGACGGTTTTTACGCTCTACGCACTTCAGCACTCGGTTGTCCCGTTCTGTGAGCTTGTGTGGCCTACCACTTTGCGGCTGAGCCGTTGTTGCTCCTAGACGTTTCCACTTCACAATAACAGCACTTACAGTTGACCGGAGCAGCTCTAGCAGGGCAGAAATTTGACGAACTGACTTCTTGGAAAGGTGGCATCCTATGACGGTGCCACGTTGAAAATCACAGAGCTCTTCGGTAAGGCCATTCTACTGCCAATGTTTTTCTATGGAGATTGCATGGCTGTATACTCGATTTTATACACCTGTCAGCAAGGGGTGTGGCTGAAATAGCCAAATCCACTAATTTGAAGGTGTGTCCACATACTTTTGTGTGTATAGTGTATCTGAGGCTCTGCAAAGATGTGTGTAGTCATGACAGTCTGTGGGTCTTTCCTGCTCCTCTCCTTGGTTGAACTGTAGGTGAACGCTGTGAACTGCAACACCAGCTGGAAGGTCACTCTGTTCATGAAGTTCAGTGACTACAGAGAGGACGTCCTCAAAGGAGTGAGTGTTCTTTTTCATCTTACCTAAATGCTTCCCATCACTGCCTACCTTTTTATGCAGAGGGTTGTACAGTATACACAGTGTGTTGATTGGTGCTCTCTGCTTGCACACCCACATTTAGGCAACAAATGTTTGATTTACAAATAGTTATAGCATCATTATACCATTTTTGCTCAGTTTATAAGAGCTCACTCAAATAATGTGTTCATTTAATCTAAGTGTTTCTTTTCAGTTCCTTAGCCCAAACAGCTAAACCATGCTGTCGTCTCTCTCTTGGTCAGGGTGATGTGGTGCGTCTGTTCCACGCCGAGCAGGAGAAGTTCCTGACATGTGACGAGTACAGGAATCAGCAGCACATCTTCCTCAGGACTACCCTGCGACAGTCTGCTACCTCCGCCACCAGTTCCAAAGCACTCTGGGAAATAGAGGTACCTGCACAATGATTGCGTCCCATTTCTCCCAAAGTGCACTCCTCCCCACACATGTATTAGTGTGGGTTAGAGGGAGTTTCCACCATATTTCTTACAGCATTCCTTTTCCATTTAAATCAACAAAGACAATTGAACAAGTGCATACTTAGGACATAGAATTGAGACAGAGCGAGAAGTACTTTGTCTGCTCTGAATTTAGCTCTTGATATGGTAGGACGAGTAGAAACACCTATTTTGAATAGGCAGTATCACAGAGGGAGATTTAAACGAGTGTCTTCCTCTTGAACAAATACATGAAATCATACATCGTAGTGTTATGAATTGGCTGACTAGTGATGACCGTTATCGGCCATTGTGAGTGGTTTTGTGGGAGCTTTCTGGTATGATTGATTATGATTTGTGTTTTTAAATGTGTTTCTCCATTGTAGGTTGTGCACTACGACCCCTGCAGAGGGGGTGCCGGCCAGTGGAACAGCCTGTTTCGCTTCAAACACCTGGCCACTGGGAACTACCTGGCAGCAGAGGTAGGCTGTTAATTTCTCTTCGCTCGCTCGCTCACTCGCACACACAGGCTTAGGCGGTATCCAGATTGTCACCTTCATGCCGACCTTGTGCCATCCTGGATATTCGGTAATACCGGCACTGAACACAAGGGTCGCTGTTTTTCAAACCCCACTGAGCCACTGTAATCCGAAGGTTAGCAATGCTAACAAGTACATGTCAAATCCCATAGAGAATGCTCATGAGCGCATTGCGAATTTTCTTATACAGTCTGACCTGAACTATTTGCAGGACAGACATCCCAGCTCATAAAGTTATACAATTAACTCAAAAATGCTACTCACAGTTTGCTGCACGCACAAAACAAATATTAGACAGCAAGGCTATTGATCCAGGAGGGGATTCTCTGCTGTTACCAAGCAAAGTTTGATTTTGGAAGAAGCTAACCATTTGGATAGATGGCTAACTAGCTACTAAATTAGCAAGCTAAATGCGCAACTGCAGAGCTTTTAGCACATTTTAGACTGTTAACTTAATAGTTCTAAGAGATCCAGCTGGCAAACATTTAGTTGTGAATTCCATACTGTAACTAGATCACCTGACTCGTGCTGCACAACACTGAGTGACTCACAAGGCTCCGGTCTCTCGTCGCTGTGTGCTTGTAAACAAACACCATGTGACTGGGGACTGACTACCTGTAAGCTTCAGAATGAAAAATTATGTGACAAGTGAAATGAAGAACGCAATGTTCTTTATCTCCTAATGTATTGCACAAGTTGATGGCAGGTATTTCATTTAAAAGTAGCTACAAATATTGAAATGTATTAAAAAAACTTTAAAGAAATAGATTTGACGGTATTGAAAAACCATCCCATGGCTATTTCCAAATACCCCGGTATAAGGTATACTTCCTACGTAAAGACTAACCATGAATTACTCATCAGTAATACAGGATGTTGTTCACGTACATTACTTTCCTATCACATGTACATTGCTTTCTTTATCACATCACATGATATTTGACAAAATACGTGGAATTATTCAAATGACCGACATTACCAACCCTTGTTCGATTTTTTTTCTGACTTGACTGATTGCCAGTGTATGGGTGTTTTCAACTCGGGTTAACATCCTGTCACTACTAGTTAATAATGCCTACCTTACATGGAACTGAGAGATGCCAATACACCACAATGGAGCACTCAGTCTCTGTACCGTCTCTGTACTGTCTCTTATGTCAGTCCTCGCAGTGGTCAGGCTGTGAGGGTGCTGATCTAGGATCAGGTCCTCCCTGTCAATATCATCTTATTCAATATGATCTGGTCCTCTGTAGCTCAGCTGGTAGAGCACAGCGCTTGTAACACCAAGGTAGTGGGTTCAATCCCCGGGACCACCCATACACAAAACAATTATGCACGCATGACTGTAAGTCGCTTTGGATAAAAGCGTCTGCTAAATGGCTTATTATTATTATGATTATTATTATTATTATTATATTATCTGAAAGTTAACACTGATCAGCACTGAATACTGTTTGTACTTTGTGTGCTCTACTGATTACTCATGTATGGCATGAAAACTATAGTCAGAGTTGTGATTTGGCTAGGCCTCTAGCTACAGACTGTGTTTATGTACATTATACATCTGGGAGAAGGCTAGTAGTGAGAGGTGAGCAGATGTTGATGTTCCAGATGTGCTGTAGATGGCAGTGTTCCCATTGTTATGGCCCTCTCTCTGCAATGTCCTGTATTGTGTTGTACAGGTGCAGCACTGCAAGAAGAATTCCCCAAAGGGGATAAGAAAGTTGATCAAATCAGTCAACTTAATCACAATCAACAATATGTTCTTCTAGAATAGTTTCTCAGACAATGGTGTGCAGTGTGTGTGGGTCTGAGTTTCTTCTCTTCCTATAGATTAATCCTGATTTCCGGGATGAGAGTGTGGATTCTAAAACAGAGGTGAGTCAGGTCAGTGATACACTATTCATGTTTTCAGATTCCTGTCTGATGGACCTTAGTCTGGACCTCAGGTCCACTGATTTTAACATGGTATACTGTGCATTCGGAAAGTATTCAGACCCCTTGATTTCTTTGACATTTTGTTACGTTACAGCCTTATTCTAAAATTGATTAAATAAAACAACTTCCCCTCATTAATCTACACACAATACCCCATAATGACAAAGCGAAAACAGGTTTTTAGGAAATTTAGCAAATGTATAAAAAAATACCTTATTTACATATATTCAGACCCTTTGCTATGAGACTCGAAATTGAGCTTTGGTGCATCCTGTTTCCATTGATCATCCTTGAGATGTTTCTACAACTTGTTTGGAGTCCACCTGTGGTAAATTCAATTGATTGGACATGATTTGGAAAGACACTCACCTGTCTATATAAGGTCCCACAGTTGACAGTGCATGTCAGAGCAAAAACCAAGCCACATGATTGTGTCGAGGCACAGATCTGTGGAAGGGTACAAAAAAATGTCTGCAACATTGAAGGTCCCCAAGAACACAGTGGCCTCCATCATTCTTAAATGGAAGAAGCTTGGAACCTCCAAGACTCTTCATAGAGCTGGCCACCTGGCCAAACTGAGCAATCGGGGGAGAAGGGCCTTGGTCAGGGAGGTGACCAAGAACCCGATGGTCACTCTGACAGAGCTCCAGAGTTTCCAGAAGGACAACCATCTCTGCAGCACTCCACCAATCAGGCCTTTATAGTAGAGTGGCCAGACGGAAGCCACTCCTCCTGTAAAAGGCACATGTCAGCCCGCTTGGAGTTTGCCAAAAGGCATCTAAAGGACTCTCAGACCATGAGAAACAAGATTCTCTGGTCTGATGAAACCAAGATTAAACTCTTTGGCCTAAATGCCAAGTGTCACGTCTGGAGGAAACCAGGCACCGCTCATCACCTCGCCAATACCATCCCTACGGTGAAGCATGGTGGTGGCAGCATCATGCTGTGGGGATGTTTTTCAGTAGCAGGGACTGGGAGACTATTCAGGATAGAGGGAAAGATGAACGGAGCAAAGCACAGAGAGATCCTTGATGATAACCTGCTCCAGACCGCTCAGGACCTCAGACTGGGGCGAAGGTTCACCTTCCAACAGGACAAAGACCCTAAGCACACAGCCAAGACAATGCAGCAGTGGCATTGGGACAAGTCTCTGAATGTCCTTGAGTGGCCCAGCCAGAGCCCGGACTTGAACCCGATCGAACATCTCTGGAGAGACCTGAAAATAGCTGTGCAGCGACGCTCCCAATCCAACCTGACAGAGCTTGAGAGGATCTGCAGAGAAGAATGGGAGAAACTCCTCAAATACAGGTGTGCCAAGCTTGTAGCGTCATAGCCAAGAAGACTCGAGGCTGTATTCGCTGCCAAAGGTGCTTCAACAAAGTACTGAGTAAAGGGTCTGAATAGCTGTTTTTGCTTAGTCATTACGGGGTATTGTGTTTAGATTGATCAGGAAAAAAAACACATTTAATCCAATTTAGAGTAAGGCTGTAACGTAACAAAATGTGGAAAAAGTGAAGGGGGGTCTATGAGTATTCTGCTATGTGTGATGTTTACTTAATGATAATGAAGGTCATTCAATAGATTGTTTAGAGCAGTTGAACAACGCATGACAACGGTCTCTCCTAGAAAATCAAATACAAACAGTACTGCATAAAGGGTAGATCAAAAGCTTATGGACCTGTGAATCCTCTACAAACAGTGTGTTACTGCTAAGAGAGCAACTCTGCGTGTGTGTGTTTCTCTGCAGTGGTAGAGGGAGTGTGCCTGTCAAACACTGGGCCTCCTGCCGGGGCACCTTGTTCTCTCACACCACCTCAAACTCCTATTACACAATCCTCTCTCACACTCACCAGCAAGAACATATGCTTCTGCTCACGTGCACTCTCTCTCTTTCTTCCTTTCTTCTCTCTCTCGCTCACTTTAGACTTTATCTCACTCACTCACCCACTCTCACATGCGAACACACACACACACACACACACTCACACACAATGTACAAAACGTATTTCCAGACAGCTTTTTTCTGCACAAAGCTACCTTCTGCATTGGTATTCTGCCTCCGCAAGGAGCACTCGCGCGCGCACACAGTCGGCTCAGACGCTCAGGGGGCTCCTTACATAAAGTCTGGGTGTGGGGGTGCCTTGTGAGAGAGGGAGGGGAGACAGACGTGCTGTCTGCTCTGCTGTTATATGCTGCTGGATGGAGTGAGTCACCAGAGGAAAGGAAAGGAGAGTGGAGGAGAGGAGAGGAGAGGTGCGGAGACACGGGGGCGGCTCAGAGGAGCTGCTTCCCATTGACATGCAGAGAGCGCTGCAGCGGTTAACCCTCTCAGTACTGTCTGATTATCTGTCTGCAGCATCCACACAGTGCAGTCCAAACCTCATCCACAGTCTCATTGTTATTACGTAAGCTGCCATAGTTTTTTTTCTCAGTGCTATGGATCTGTGGCACAGGCTTATTGATATTAGCATTGAGAATGGTAGTTGTAAGAACTTTGGTATTCTCCTCCTTGTGTGTGTCTGTGTTATCTGTCTGTCTGCAGACGGAGATGGATACAGTGTACTCCCAGAGGAAGCGTCAGGCTGCAGAGAAGATAGCCTACACCCTGGTGTCTGTGCCCCATGGCAACGACATCGCCTCTCTGTTTGAGCTGGACGCCACCACACTGCAGAGGGTTGACTGTCTGGTGCCCAGGTCAGACTGGCCCCTAAAACACACTTAAGATATCTAAAACACTTCGAACACTTTTAAAGGACTCTTGGAAGAGATCTCAATTACAGCCTAATTAACTATAAACACACTTAAAACACACTTTGCCTTCCCTCAGGAACTCGTACGTACGGCTGAGACACCTGTGTACCAACACCTGGGTGACTAGCGCCAACTTTCCCATCGACACTGAGGAGGAGCGCCCCGTCATGCTCAAGGTCCCACATTACCCCCCTGCTTTTTAAGTTTTTTTGTGCATCAAAACTCACTTATCGCAACGTAGTCACAAACTCCTCCCCCCAACTTTTCCCCATTGTCAATTACTATTAGAAATAGGGTTTGTTGTGGAGTATGGAAGGATTGTGCTTGAGTCTGTTGGCTAAAACTGAATGCCCTCTACACACAGATTGGCACGTGCCTTACGAAGGAGGACAAGGAGGCATTTGCCATTGTCTCTGTGCCCCTGTCTGAGGTCCGAGACCTGGACTTTGCTAACGATGCCAACAAGGTCCTGGAGTCGACCGTGAGGCAGCTGCAGAACGGCAACATTGCTCAGAACGATAGGAGGTACAGAACAGTCTAGCCCTATATAGGACGCTGCTCAGAACGATAGGAGGTACAGAACAGTCTAGCCCTATATAGGACGCTGCTCAGAATGATAGGAGGTACAGAACAGTCTAGCCCTATATAGGACGCTGCTCAGAACGATAGGAGGTACAGAACAGTCTAGCCCTATATAGGACGCTGCTCAGAACGATAGGAGGTACAGAACAGTCTAGCCCTATATAGGACGCTGCTCAGAACGATAGGAGGTACAGAACAGTCTAGCCCTATATAGGACGCTGCTCAGAATGATAGGAGGTACAGAACAGTCTAGCCCTATATAGGACGCTGCTCAGAACGATAGGAGGTACAGAACAGTCTAGCCCTATATAGGACGCTGCTCAGAACGATAGGAGGTACAGAACAGTCTAGCCCTATATAGGACGCTGCCAGAATGATAGGAGGTACAGAACAGTCTAGCCCTATATAGGACGCTGCTCAGAATGATAGGAGGTACAGAACAGTCTAGCCCTATATAGGACGCTGCTCAGAACGATAGGAGGTACAGAACAGTCTAGCCCTATATAGGACGCTGCTTCAAATGAACAGGTACAGAACAGTCTAGCCCTATATAGGACGCTGCTCAGAATGACAGGAGGTACAGAACATCTAGCCCTATATAGGACGCTGCTCAGAACGATAGGAGGTACAGAACAGTCTAGCCCTATATAGGACGTGCTCAGAACGATAGGAGGTACAGAACAGTCTAGCCCTATATAGGACGCTGCTCAGAACGATAGGAGTACAGAACAGTCTACTTTGCTCCAATATAGGACGCTGCCCTATAGATGCTCACGTGAGGTACAGAACAGTCTAGCCCTATATAGGACGCTGCTCAGAAGATAGGAGGTACAGAACAGTCTAGCCCTATATAGGACGCTGCTCAACTAGGAGGTACAGACAGTCTAGCCTATATAGGACGCTGCTCAGAATGATAGGGTACAGAACAGTCTAGCCCTATATAGGACCTGCCAGAATGATAGGAGGTACAGAACAGTCTAGCCCTATAAGACGCTGCTCAGAAGATGAGGTACAAACAGTCTAGCCCTTATAGACGCTGCTCAGAAGATGGAGTACAGAAAAGTCTAGCCCTATATAGGACGCTGCTCAAATGATGGAGGTACAGAACATCTAGCCCTATATAGGACGCTGCTCAGAACGTAGAGGTACAGAACAGTCTAGCCCTATATAGGACGCTGCTCAGAGATAGGAGGTACAGAACAGTCTAGCCTATATAGGACGCTGCTCAGAATGAAGGAGGTACAGAACAGTCTAGCCCTATATAGGACGCTGCTCAGAAGATAGGAGTACAGAACAGTCTAGCCTATATAGGACGATGCTCAGAACGATAGGAGGTACAGAACAGTCTAGCCCTATATAGGACGTGCTCAGAACGATAGGAGGTACAGAACAGTCTAGCCTATATAGGACGCTGCTCAGAAGATAGGAGTACAGAACAGTCTAGCCCTATATAGGACCTGCTCAAAGATAGGAGGTACAGACAGTCTAGCCCTATATAGACGCTGCTCAGAAGATAGGAGGTACAGAACAGTCTAGCCTATATAGACGCTGCTCAGAAGATAGGAGTACAGAACAGTCTAGCCCTATATAGGACGCTAATAAAATAGCTTAGACTGCTAAAATAGGGTACAGAACAGTCTAGCCCTATATAGGACGCTGCTCAGAATGACAGGAGGTACAGAACAGTCTAGCCCTATATAGGACGCTGCTCAGAATGATAGGAGGTACAGAACAGTCTAGCCCTATATAGGACGCTGCTCAGAATGATAGGAGGTACAGAACAGTCTAGCCCTATATAGGACGCTGCTCAGAATGATAGGAGGTACAGAACAGTCTAGCCCTATATAGGACGTGCTCAGAATGATAGGAGGTACAGAACAGTCTAGCCCTATATAGGATCGTGCTCAGAATGATAGGAGGTACAGAACAGTCTAGCCCTATATAGGACGCTGCTCAGAAGATAGGAGGTACAGAACAGTCTAGCCCTATATAGGACGCTGCTCAGAATGATAGGAGGTACAGAACAGTCTAGCCCTATATAGGACGCTGCTCAGAACGATAGGAGGTACAGAACAGTCTAGCCCTATATAGAACGCTGCTCAGAACGATAGGAGGTACAGAACAGTCTAGCCCTATATAGGACGCTGCTCAGAATGATAGGAGGTACAGAACAATCTAGCCCTATATAGGACGCTGCTCAGAACGATAGGAGGTACAGAACAGTCTAGCCCTATATAGGACGCTGCTCAGAACGATAATCCTTTTACTGAAGGAATATCTATAATCCGTAACTCCTTCTCCGTCCATCCAGATTGTATAATGTGTGGATATCTGTGAAGAAACCATATGAGCCTAACTTTTCTCCAAACTGGCACCTATAACTCAGCTGTAGTAGACAGCACGAAAGACACTCTTCCGCAAAGCCTACCACTGTTTTCCCCAGCCGAGTTATACTGTAGGTGCCGGTTTGGAGAAAAGTTAGGCTCATATGGTTTCTTTACAGATATCTACACATTATACAATCTGGATGGATTGGACAAGTACCCCCCTAAAACATTTTCAGGCTCCACATTCTAACCGTCTAGGACAACCATGCTCCAAGACATCCTGTCTGTGTCTGAAAATGTTACTAGACGTCAAATCCTTGCTTCCTCTTTTATTGTTTCCGCCAATCGCCTTTCTTAAAGCGCATTGGATGTCGGAGGGGAGGGACTTTGGATCCTCTCCTTCCTTGCTTTGAGATGGAGCAGAATCTGAGAATTAAGAAAATGGGGACGGAGAAAGCAATTATTTGACGGCTAGTAACGATTTTAGACAGAGCAATGCAATTGAAAATAGCTCCTGAGTACAATACATGTGATAGCCCTACAATCAGTTTAGGAGGGACAGTATGCCCCCTAGTGACACATCCGAGGTTTACATTGTGTATTTGGTTTATTTAGAATACTATGTGATCCAATCAGGTTTAAATGAGTCTCCGTTTTAATTTCCTCATTCCCTGTGGCTGCTCTATGTCCACAACAACTGTGGCTCTCAGACAGACAATCTGTTCTGTGTACTACTGTCATATCCACCAATGTTCTTCTCCTGCTAACCATAAAACATACTTTCAGACTGCTGAAGCAAGTGTACCAATGCTCTTTTACGGGCCCATGTTTCCCAGGTTTGTGACCAAGCTGTTAGAGGATCTGATCTTCTTTGTGTGCGAGGTCCCCAACAACGGTCAGGACGTACTGTCTGTGGTCATCTCCAACCCAAACAGAGAGAGGCAGAAACTAATGAGGGAACAGAACATTCTAGCCCAGGTCAGCTCAATCATACACTCACACACACTCTCCCAGAATATTACCTAAACAAGTCTAGCTTTGGTCTTGCTTCTGCTTTGGCCAGTTCCTGTATTGTCTGTCGTTGTCTTAACAAATATATTGGGTAATGATGGCAAAGAGAAGCATGCAGACCTTGATCTCTTTTTCTTCATTGACCAGTTTAGATTTACATCTACAACAGCTGTTAAATTGAACAACAACTGTGCAGATTTCTTTTGACGTCATAGACATATTGACTAATGCAGAAGCAGACTGGCACGCAAGCTAGAGGAAGGTGAATTCCACTCTCTCTTCCTCATGGTCATTACACTGTGATTTATGGGGATTAGAGTGCAGAGAGTAGGCGGTCCATCTGATAGCAGTAATTAAAGGGAGCAATAACTCAAGTCCATTATGCCAAAGGCTATGCTAATAGCATTGTCATAGCATTGTTAGCACTAATGATGCTGGCAGTGGTCATTATCAGAATTAGGGAGGATACAGACAACATCAACAAAATCTCCTTTTGAGGTGCAATTGCTTTGGCATCAACAAGTTATCGTTTCATAATCGTGTAACCTCTGAAATGCCTCTTTCTCTCTCACACTGTGTCTGTCTCCAGATTTTTGGTATTCTGAAGGCCCCATTCACAGACCTGGGGGAGGGTCCCATGCTGAAGCTGGAGGACTTGGGGGACCAGCGCTACGCTCCCTTTAAGTACATGCTGCGGCTGTGCTACCGAGTGTTGCGCCACTCCCAACAAGACTACCGCAAGAATCAGGTTAGTAGTCCTCCCTAGTTGTCCTCAAAACCTACCTTCCTTGGTCAATAAATTCAGTGACTATAGTACCATACTAGTGTATGGATTTGTGTTAGCATATCTCAGAACTCATCATTAGTTAATGCAGTCACATGAATGTGAGAGATGAAAATCCTTTGTTGTGTTTTGGTTAATGTAGCTCAAGTAGAAATAGAATACCATGTCTGTCATTTAAAGTATGCCCATGAGGGTGAAGTCAAATTGTTGTGGTCTGAGGTGCTTTCCCATTCTAGTAGTTCCAGCGCTATGCTCTTAACCCTGCTATCCCACTAGAACATATGTATTCCTGTGATGGTATCGATTGCGATTAACTGGTCTCATTCTGCCCTCCAGGAGTACATAGCCAAGAAGTTCTCCATCATGCAGTCTCAGATCGGTTACGAGATCCTGGCTGAGGACACCATCACTGCCCTGCTCCACAACAACCGCAAGCTGCTGGAGAAACACATCACAGCCAAGGAGATCGAGACCTTCGTCAATCTGCTGCGACGCAACCGAGAGCCCAGGTCAGGGCAGAGCAGGGAGGAGGGATGTGCTATACATAACACACATTATAACATGCATATGACACAAAAACACATTTGATCCACAATGATCCCAACGTTTGGGTTAGATATACAAACTGGGGCTATAACGCACAATGTGCCAAAAAAATAAGTATAATACTGTATATTTGTGTTGCCTATGGTTGCGAGATATTTTAAAGCCACTGTACTGGGTTCAAAGTCTTTGAGCAGATTTAGTCCAATAAGTTTGGTTGTCCTCTGTCTTCCTATCAGGTTTCTGGACTACCTGTCAGACCTGTGTGTGTCCAATAAGACGGCCATCCCAGTGACACAGGAGCTCATCTGTAAATTCATGCTGAACCCCGCCAACGCTGAAATCCTCATCCAGACCAAGTGAGTCACACACACAAACACCCTGTTCTCTCTACCTAACACTGTAGTGCAGGTGAAGTCTGTTCAGAATCAGCTTCTCAGATTGGGGACTGTTACCTGTCTTTTTACTGTGCAATGGGCATGACTCTGTTAAACACTAATTCACATTCAGCTGGCACATCTGTATAAAAAGACAGCTTGGATGAATATCAGTTAGCTAGTGTATGCAGAATTGTACACAGTTCAAATATAGTACAGTATAGTACATAGTAGGCACTAAGTATCCAGGCAAGGTGTTCAGATGTAAGCAGCGAAGAGAATTGGCAGATTATGCATGTAGTACAAGCTGCAGAAAGAATGCTCTGTATTGCGCTTCATCTCCTTTGGCCATCTTCCACCCCTCTCCCCCTCCCCCCCAGGCTCATCCCCAACATGGATACAACCCTGCAGTCGTCCGTGCTGCAGGAGGACACCGAGGAGGACGAGGAGGTGTGGCTCTACTGGATTGACAGCCACAAGGAGCCACACGGCAAGTCCATCCGCCACCTGGCCCAGGACGCCAAGGGCAACCACAAGCTGGACAACGACGTCATCACCTACTACAGGTACTAGACAGCTACTGCAGCAGGGCGTTCTGGGAATCTTTATTAGACACAAGTGCCGAAACATTGGTTCTCCAATTTATTTATGTATCAAGTATTCATGGTCCTTTAGTCTAGTCTATAATATAATAATAATAATAATAATATGCCATTTAGTAGACGCTTTTATCCAAAGCGACTTACAGTCATGTGCGCATACATTTTTACGTATGGGTGGTCCCGGGGATCGAACCCACTACCCTGGCGTTACAAGCGCCATGCTCTACCAATTGAGCTACCACCTTGTCAACCATTTGGGTATGCGTTTTCAGCTCCTACTTTGTGAATAAATAATGAGTCCCACTTTTTTCCTTACCATTGATTGATTGAAACACATTTACTGTCACAGTTCAACAACTGGCTGGCCGTATTTGGCCCAGGGTTATTTTATTTGGCCTCAAGTTTTCTGAGCAAAAAAAATGTTTTAATTGTTGGACCAGCAAATCAGCTCCAAGTGATTTTTAATTTTGGAAATCTGTTCCAAAGTATTCCCACGCATAATAGAGAGATGTGATCGTATACAAATGTAAGCAAGGTGTGAAATTATTGTTTTAGTCAAATATTATATCTGTTTGGGCTTTTTGCGGTCAATTTGCTGTCTACAAATTATTTGTAATTATGTTCTGCCCCCCTGACAATCCACTCTAGTAGAAATAGGCTATATCTAGTTGATGATCCCTATACTACAGTATGTCATATTTCTATGGGACTTATGAGTGTGCAGGCGCTATTCCTTTTACATTTCTATGGCACCTCTTCTCCATCTATTTCCTCTCTATCTCCCCCATCCACCTTCCAGATACCAGCTCAACCTGTTTGCCAAGATGTGTCTGGACCGCCAGTACTTGGCTATCAACCAGGTGTCCAGCCAGCTGCCTGTGGACCTGATCCTGCGCTGCATGTTTGACGACTACCTGCCCTACAACTTGCGAGCCTCCTTCTGCCGCCTCATGCTGCACATGCACGTGAACCGCGAGCCCCAGGAGGCCGTGGTGGCCGTGCGCTACGCCCGCCTCTGGACCGAGATCCCCTCCAAGATCACCATCCACGAGTGAGTGTGTTTATGTGTGGCTTTGGGATCTGTGGATCTGGCAATAACGTATCTGTAACTGGCACACCACCTGAAAGAAAATGACCTCTGGGTAGAGAATCATCGCAGATTAATTGCATCTTCAGTTTGCTACATTTTTTAATGCATGTAGGTAGCGACAGCACTTTCTTTTCTCTACAGAATCATTGCAGTCAGATTTTCTAGGCTGAAGGTCTATTTCACAGTTTTAAACAACTTGAACAAGTGATTTCTCTGTTCATTCGTTTCTCATGTAAAGACTAGAGTTGCTATGCTATACCATAACTATCCTCTATAACTGTCACCCAGGTATGAGTATGAGTTCACTGACACCTCCAGAGAGGAGATGAAGAGGAAGTTTGCCCCCACCATGGAGTTTGTAGAGGAATACCTCAAGGACGTGGTCAGCCAGCCTTTTCCCTTTGGAGACGAAGAGAAGAATGAACTGACTCTGGAGGTAAAAGATGGTACACAACTATTTGTGTGATTGGTTGTAATCCAAACTATGGATATAGACATGCTCACTTTCTTTTTTTGTGTTTTTCACAATACATTTTACAATACAACACCACATACACAATAATACAACTCTTACAACAGTCGTTCTCCCACCCCACCCAGTGGTGACCACCCTACCCATCACAAAGATGGTGATAGACATGATTACTTTCTGATTTTCAAGTTGTCTAACTCTGGTCTCTGTGGGGAAATCCTCATCCCTCTCATCTCCTGTCCTGTAGGTGGTGCACCTGGCCCGTAACCTGGTTTATTTTGGCTTCTACAGCTTCAGTGAGCTGCTGCGTCTCACGCGCACCCTGCTGGCCATCCTGGACTTTGTCCAGCACCCACTCACCTACATGGCCGAGCTCAGCAAGAGCCCCGAGGCAGGTCAGTCACACAGAGAATGAATGAGTGAATTAATTAATGGATTAAAACATCTAATTAAAACACAAAACTATTTATTTGTTTACCATGTTTATTAAGCATGCACATTTCATATTGATTAATACAATATAGATAGGTATATGACATGGTACATCAGTAGATATGTTATATGAGTACACTGAACAAAATTATAAACGCAACATTTTCAATGATTTTACTGAGTTACAGTTCATATAAGAACATCAGTCAATTGAAATAAATTCATTAGGCCCTAATCTATGGATTTCACATGACTGGGCAGGGTTGCAGCCGTGGGTAGGCCTTGGATGGCATAGGCCCACCCACTTGGCAGCCAGGCCCAGCCAATCAGAATGAGTTTATCCCCACAAAAGGGCTTTACATTAACATTTTAGTCATTTAGCAGACGCTATTATCACACAGACATAAATACTTCTCAGGACCCCCTCACACCCCCTAAGATGATACCGCAGGTGAAGAAGCCGTATGTGGAGGTCCTGGACTGGCGTGGTTACACGTGGTCTGTGGTTTTGAGGCCGGTTAGGCGTACTGCAAAATTCTCTAAAACAACGTTGGAGGCGGCTTATGGTAGAGAAATGAACATTAAATTATCTGGCAACAGCTGTGGGGGACATTCCTGTAGTCAACCTGCCAATTTCACGCTCCCTCAAAACTTGAGACATCTGTGGCATTGTGTTGTGTGACAAAACTGCACATTTTAGAGTAGCCTTTTATTGTCCCAGCCCAAGGCGCACCTGTGTAATGATCATGCTGTTTAATCAGCTTCTTGATATGCCACACATGTCAGGTGGATGGATTATCTTGGCAAAGGAGAAACGCTCACTAACAGGGATGTAAACAAATTTGTGGACAACATTTTAGAGAAAGAAGCTTTTTGTGCGGATGGAAAATGTCTGGGATTTTTTTATTTCAGCTCATGAATCATGGGACCAACACTTTACATGTTGTGTTAATATGTTTGTTCAGTGTAGATGACAGTGTCCAGATCACAATCAGAAACAACTTTAAGAGACATGGGTTCTGCTCCCCATCTTTTTATGAAACCTACCTGTGTTCATTAGGACACATTTTTACATTTACATTTTAGTCATTTAGCAGACGCTCTTATCCAGCGCGACTTACAGTTAGTGAGTGCATACATTTTCATACTGGTCCCCCGTGGGAATCGAACCCGCAACCCTGGCGTTGCAAGCGCCATGCTCTACTAACTGAGCTACACGGGACACACAATGGAAAATGTTGCCAGGTAGTCCCTCTCTTTTTCAGTCTGTTTCCTTATGTTTGGTGCCCAATGAACACCTCCATGGCTTCGCTGTCCTCCAGGGAACAATGTGTTGCGTACCATCCACGGCGTGGGGGAGATGATGACTCAAATGGTGCTGAGTAGAGGGCAAGTCCAGCCTCACCACCTCCCGAACACGCCCCCGTCCCTCCAGGATGGAAAACAACCTCTCTGTCTGCCCGACAACGAGGATGTCATGGTCATGGACACCAAGCTCAAAATCATTGAGATCCTACAGGTGAGTGGAGCGCCACCATGTGGTCTGGAGGGCCAGTTACCTGTAACTGTTGTAATGTAGTGGCTTGAGGCTGGCTGTGGTCAAATTCTCTATACCTGTCTCCAATGCTTTTGAATACTTGAGGGGAAGTGATTGATTGTATACTTCTGGTACAATATTGTACTATAAATGGTTCCTTCCTGTATTATACATATGCTAAAATGTTTTCTATTCTACTGGGCCATTTACTTTATGTTTGTATTCTTAACTTTTATTATTTCTTATTGTTGCATTGTCGAGAAGGAACCTGCAAGTAAGCATTTAGTTGGATGGTGTATACCAGGGGTCGGCAACAGGCTGACCAAAACCGGCCTGCGAGTGATAATTTTTTGTTGAAAAAATCACCAGGAATTCAGCTAGAAATGAGTTTCATTTAGGAAATCTGTTCCCAAGTATTCCCACGAATAGAAAAAGAGACGTGATCGTGACTCAATGCAATCAAGGTATGACATTATTGCATTATTGTTATTTTCAAATGCAATTTATTTTTGGGCTTAGTTGTGGTCTACTTGCAGTGTACAAATTATTATAATTTTGTTCCTGCCCCCCGACCATCCGCTTCGACAAAACTCGGCCCACGGCTGAATCTAGTTGCCTGCCCCTGATATATACCATGTGTGGTAACGCAACAACAAAAAGTTGGTAACCACTGTTTAAGGTCTCTGATTTCACTATTTTAGCTTTGTATACATTTGAGGTATTTAACATTGTGATCCTTTTATCTGCTTCCATCTTGTTCTCCCATTAGTTCATTCTGAGTGTGCGACTGGACTATAGGATCACCTACCTGCTGTCCATCTATAAGAAAGAGTTTGGGGACAGTAATCTATCGGACAGTTCTATGTCATTATCTGAATTCCCCTCAATGTCAGGTAATGCTCTACCATTACATAAGGACATCTTGGCCTGGTCCCAGATCTGTTTGTACTGTCTTGCCAACTCCTATGCTCGAAATGGGACCAGGCTAGGGGAATCTTGAGTGTTTCAGTTAATACCTGAGGGGAATCCTGCTGGTTTGTTGATTACTGTTGTAATCGGTTGTTTGCGCTGTGCTGTCACAGTCACTAATGACTTTCTGTAATTGGGCTTTCTATAATTGGGTTCAGTGATTTCACAATATTTTGCACAGTTTCAGATCCAGACATTGATGAGATTGCAGCAAAAGCAGAGACCATGTTTGCTGGAAGGTAAGTAAGCTGTGTGCATATGCATTTGTGTGTGTGTGTGAGAAAAAGGGTGCACTGTGGTTTTAGTTCAGAGAAAAGTGCTGTCTGTGAGTGTCTATATGTCTGTGTGTGCCAGTGTCTGTCTAAAACCTTCGGTCGCCAGCTGGACGGTATTTCCTAAGACACATTGGTGCAGCTGGCTTCCGGGTTAAGCGGTCGGGTGTTAAGAAGCGCGGTTTGGCGGGTAATGTTTCGGAGTGACCCTCAACACGGGGGCCCCTCAGGTGTGTGTGTGTGTGTACTCCCTGTTCACCCACGACTGCGTGGCCATGCACGACTCCAATACCATCATCAAGTTTCATGACAACACGACGGTGGTAGGCCTGATCACCGACGGTGATGAGACTGCCTACAGGGAGGAGGTCAGAGACTTGGCAGTGTGGTGCCATAACAACAACCTCTCCCTCAACGTCAGTAAGACCAAGGAGCTGATCGTGGACTACAGGAGTAAGAGGGGAGAGCACGCCCCCATCCACATCGACAGGGCTGTAGTGGAGCGGGTCGAGCGCTTCAAATTCCTTGGCGTCCACATCACTAAGGGCTTAACATGGTCCACTCACAGCCACAGGAGTCGTGACGATTTAATACATTTTAGAATAAGGCTGTAACGTAACAAAATGTGGAAAAAGTCAAGGGGTTTGAATACTTTCCGAATGCACTGTACATTATATATATATATATATATATATATATATATATATATATATATATATATATATATATATATATATATATACACACACACACACACACACACACACACACACACACACACACACACACACACACACACACACACACACACACCGACACAACACACATGCACACACACACCATTATACCTCAATTACCTCATACCCCTGTTTTTTATTCCTATTGTGCTACAATTGTTTTGTTCTTTTTTTAACTCTGCATCATTGGGAAGGGCTCGTAAGCAATCATTTCACGTTAAATCTACACCCGTTCTATTCGGCACGTAAAAAAAATAAAATTGGATTTGATTTTAACCCTGTGTCTGGTGCTTTCAGTTCAGAGCGTCGTTCTGTGTCTAACATTGTCTCTGTCTAACCCTGTGTCTGGTGCTTCTAGGTCAGAGTGTAATGCTGTGGAGCTGGATGACGAGGGAGGCAGGACCTTTCTGAGGGTTCTGATCCACCTCATCATGCAGGACTACCCCCCGCTGGTGTCCGGCTCGCTGCAGCTCATGTTCAAACACTTCAGCCAGAGAGCCGAGGTCCTACAGGCCTTCAAACAGGTAAAGGCACAGTTGGTGCGTGCGTGTGCGTCCGCCTAATCTGTGTGTGTGTCTGATCTCACTGTGTGTGTTTCTGTGGTCTCCTACAGGTCCAGTTGCTGGTGTCGGAGCAGGATGTGGAGAACTACAATCAGATCAAGACCGACCTGGACCAGCTCAGGCTGACTGTGGAGAAGTCTGAACTGTGGGTGGAGAAGAGTGGAGGCTACGGCAGTGAGGACATAGGAGACAGCCAGGGCAAGGAGCAGACCATGGAGGTACAACACTATACTGCACAGTACACTATACTGCACAGTACACTATACTGCACAGTACACTATACTGCACAGTACACTATACTGCACAGTACACTATACTGCAGTACACTATACTGCAGTACGGTATAGTATGCCCCCTACAGGCCACACATCATAGAGGACTAATGGCTAAGGGTGGTCTGAATCCTAACTCGATATCCAAGTCAAAAATCCAAATGTATTTTTGTGTGGTGTGTGATTGACAGGAGGCGGGGATCCTGAGTCCAGTACAGGATGGGGATGTGAAGCCCCATATAGACAGCAACAAAGCCAACAACTACAACATCGTCAAAGAGGTGGGCTGCCATTCTGTCCCCTTATACTGTGTTTGGTATTGGCAGCATAATCAATTACAGTCAGTGCAGTCTTTGAATATACATCATGATGCTGGGGTCATTGATTGCCCACTGACAATTTACAGACCTCACATTACTGGCCAATGTGTGGCCAACATGAGCTGGACTTGCCTGACTTGTAACCTGACTTGCCTTTCTTAAATGCTCCTGAGGGGATACATAGAATTGAATTGAATGAGGTTCAGTAACATCTGAAAAATCAAGTGTTTTTTTAGACTTATTGCGATGTAGCCGTTAAATGCTTGTATGTTTGTCTGATCTGTGTGTGTGTGGTCAGTAGATCCTGCTGCGGCTCAGTAAGCTGTGTTACCCCAGTAAGAAGAGTTGTGTGCAGCAGCAGAGGCTACTGAAAAACATGGGGGCTCACTCTGTGGTGCTGGACCTGCTCCAGATACCTTATGAGAAGGTGAGCACATCATCACGTTTAGAGATTTCAGTAATTACAGTAAGTGTCAAACACACCGAGTCCATTTGGGATTATAAAAGAAATGCTTCAAATGAGGCGCCTCAAAGCCTTACATGGATTTTGTCATGCTCACTAACCAGAATTTACCTGGATAAAGCTTGACTGGATAGATAAACGCTGCCTGGAGCTTTGTTGGACCGTCTGTATGGATTGATTTTGTGGTGATGCAGTTGTGAAACAGTGTTGTGACTCCTGTCTGTCCCCAGAGTGATGAGAAGATGAATGAGATCATGACACTGGCCCATGTGTTCCTGCAGAACTTCTGTAGAGGGAACAGCCAGAACCAGGCTCTGCTCCACAAATACCTCAACCTGTTCCTTACACCAGGGGTACGCTCACACGAACACACACGCACTCATTCACACACACTGTGAGCACACACACACACACTGTATGCATGCATGCATGGACTCACACTCACAAACACATACACGGGACATACGTGTTTGTTCACATGTCTTAATATTATTCAACTCAATAAATGCATTCTATTACTGGAGATCCAGATGTGAATTCACTGTACACATCTTCTCCCTCTCTCCAGCTCCTGGAGGCTGAGACCATGCGCCACATCTTCATGAACAACTTCCACCTGTGCAACGAGATCAGCGACCGCGTGGTCCACCATTTTGTCCACTGCATCGAGACGCACGGCCGACACGTCCAGTACCTCAAGTTCCTCCAGACCATCGTCAAGGCCGACGGGAAGTACGTGAAAAAGTGCCAGGACAAGGTCATGACCGAGGTGAGAGGGGGATGATGATGATGATGATGCTGTCTTTGCTGTGGAGACATAACGCAATAGCATGGTTATCTCCAAACTAGCCAGGGCTTGCTAGAGATGTTTCAAACACGAGAAACTTAAAATGTGACTACTTAAAGAAAATACCTTGTGGATGAATTAATGAATTTGCCACTCCCATTGACGTTGGTCGGAATCTTGGTTGAGGGCGTTACAGGAAGTCATTGCATGTTGAGTCTCAGTTTAGGTTAACAGGAAGAATGAACCAATATCACACTATGTCTTGCTCATATCAATAGCAAACTATCAATATCATATCGAATGGTCAATATTGGTACCCCGTATTCCCTGTCTAACCTCCACTCGTCTGTCTCCCTTTCTGTCCATCCCACCCCCAGCTGGTGAACGGTGGCGAGGACGTGCTGGTGTTCTACAACGACCGCTCCTCCTTCCCGGTGCTGTTCCAGATGATGTGCTGCGAGCGGGAGCGTGGGGACGAGAACGGCGCCCTGGCCTACCACAACACCTTGGTAGAGCTCCTCGCCGTCTGCACCGAGGGCAAGAACGTCTACACCGAGCTGAAATGTAACTCCCTGCTGCCCCTCGACGACATCGTCAAAGTGGTCACCCACGAAGATTGCATCCCTGAGGTACGGGAGAAGGGATGGGTCATATTGAGAGGCTGTGTTATTGGGTGCTGTGGTGTGATTCAGTATTCTAATGTGATTTACTACCCTTGTATTCAGCCTCACCTGTACTAATCTGAATATACAGAGGATAGGTAAAAGTGGCATGATGCTTGGTAAACGCTTACTGTGAATTGGAATTCATCTGTTCAGCTGTTTCGCATCAGTGCAGATGAGGGAAAGTAATACAGGATAGTATTTCATTATAGACAATTGGCATGCACCCATTGTTTGCATACAGAGAGTGGTCAGAGGTTTATTTTCGTTGATTCAAACCCATGCATAACATTTGATTCCAAAACAGCCAGCCTTGATATAGCTTAGCATTCATTCACCTCAGTGTAATCTTTCACACCTGCCATTCATCTGAATACATTGTTTCTATTGGCCCTCCCTCCCCAGGTGAAGACAGCCTACGTGAACTTTGTGATCCACTGCTACGTGGACACAGAGGTGGAGATGAAGGAGATCTACACCAGCCACCACATCTGGAAGCTCTTTGAGAACTTCCTGGTGGACATGGCACGGGTAACGTCCTCACTAAGGTCCTCCTCATAGCACTACCAGGGGTGTGTCTCAATAGTTCAAAACCGGTTCCTTTTCCTCAGTTTCCTTGTGTCCTCTCCCTCATCTGCACTGATATGAACACAAAATATACACTGAGTGTACAAAATATTAAGAGCACCTTCCTTTTGCCCTCAGAATAGCCTAAATTCGTCGGGCATGGACTCTATAAAGTGTCGAAAGCGTTTCACATGGTTGCTTGCCCATGTTGACTCCAATGCTTCCCACAGTTGTGTCAAGTTGTCCTTTGGGTGGTGGACCATTCTTGATACACACGAGAAGCTGTTGAGTGTGGAAAACCCAGCGGCGTTGCAGTTCTTGACACAAACCGGTGTGCCTGGCACCTACTACTTCTACTACGACTGTGACTACTACCATACCCCATTCAAAGGCACTTAAATATTTTGTTTTGTCCATTCATCCTCTGAATGGCACACATACACAATCGCCGTACACTCCACTGGCTTCCAGTTGAAGCTCGCATCTGCTACAAGACCATGGTGCTTGCCTACGGAGCTGTGAGGGGAACGGCACCTCCTTACCTTCAGGCTCTGATCAGTCCCTACACTTTGAAAGCATTCAACTTTCCAGCTGAAATAATACATTTAATAAAAATATTATATCATGTCCTAAAGCAAAAATATACACACATACATTATCAGGGATGTCCTCTCTCCCCCCTCCTGTTTGCACTGGGAATTGAACCGCTTGCAGAAATAATTAGACAGTACCCAAACGTAACAGGTATTGGTAAACTAAACGTATTTAATGACGATCTCCTTTATACACCAGAATAATATGGAAAACTCAATGCCCCCCTTGTTAACTCAATGCCCTCCGAGTGGCGCAGTGGTCTAAGGCACTGCATCGCAGTGCTAGCTGTGCCACTAGAGATCCTGGGTCGAATCCAGGCTCTGTCGTAGCCGGCCGTGACCGGGAGACCCATGGGGTGGCGCACAATTGGCCCAGCGTCGTCCAATGTAGGGGAGGGAATGGCCGGCAGGGATGTAGCTCAGTTGGTAGTGCATGGCGTTCGCAACGCCAGGGTTGTGGTTTCGATTCCCACGGGGGGCCAGTATGAAAAATTTAAAAATAATGTATACACTCACTAACTGTAAGTCGCTCTGGATAAGAGCGTTTGCTAAATGACTAAAATCTTTTTTAAAAATGTAAAAAATATATTCGGAACTACTTCTGAAATTATGGCAACATGAAAAGGGATAACTCATGATCTACAACAATCCTTTAAGTGGACCACAAAAACATATTAAATCCTTAGGATGCTTAATAAGGGACAACACATATATAAAGATAACTTTATCCCATTACTCAACAACATGAATGTAGATCTAATTAAATGGAACAATCTCCTCATAAGTCTTACAGGTAGAATAAACCTCTTTTAGGCTCCCAAAGTTCAGTAATACCAATTACCCCACCGAAGACATTCTTTAAAAAAGTATACTCGGCCATAACAGACTAAACTCCTAGAATAAATAGCAAAGTTGTCCCTTATTCTGAGGGTGGTTTTAACCTTCCAGATTTGGAATTGTATCAACTCGCCACCCAAGGCAATTACTTGTGACATATTGTTAAATGCACTAAAGAGGAACAATATTGAAGATGCACATGCTCTTCCCCATCATCTTTTCACGTGTCTGTTTTCAAAGGATGTAGCTAAGAACATTAACAACTTCATAATTAACAACACTATAACAACATGGAAGAAAATGAAACTGATTCTACAAGAACCAATATCATTCCCTAAAAACACAACCCTATGGAACAATCCTTGGATAGCTTTCAGAATTCACAGATAAATTGGTCCACATGGAAACCTAAAGGCATAGAAACCGTAAATGACTTGGTAATAGGAAATACATGTATAATCATTTCCATTACCAAATTAAAAAGAAATGACCAATGTAGATATTTTCAAATATATGCAACTTAAAAGTTTTATATCACAAAATGTTGACCTGAAAGCTTTTGTACATCAGAGCGATGTTGAGGCAATCCTATTTGAATCAGAAAAATAAAGTTATATGATAGGTAAGATGTATACCAAACCATGCAGAGAGCATATCCAACTGACAATCTCTTATTCAAAAATATAAACTATTGGAACAAGACTTAAAAATAACTGATATTGGCAAAAGATGGAGGGAGTGTTGGAACATAACGAACAAAATTACAATTAACGAAAATGTACGCCTAATCCTGTATAAACTAATGTATAGATTTTATTATACAAGAGATAAAATTCACACATTCTACAGCACAATGGCAGAGTCATGTCTTAAGTGTAAAACTAACAATGACTCAATAATGAATGCCTTTTGGGAGTACTATCAATTACAATAAACTGACTGTCAGAAATTGTACAATTCAAGGTGACTTTTAATCCGTCTATCTGCATATTTCAAGACATGGCATATGGGGGTGCAGTGCGCTAGCCAATGGGTTGGACAATATTATTTCCATTACTTATATTGAAGAAGCTATTACTTAAATACTGGAAGTGAAATGATACTCCAACGTTAAGAGAATGGAAGAATCAAATGCTTTATTATTTAAATATGGAAAAAAATCTGGCTACAGACAAAAACAACAGAACACAATTTGAAGTCATATGAGGCTGAGTCTTACAAGCATTAGAAACATTGGGTGTGGGAACATGTGGGTCTGAGCAAGTGTGATATCATTAATGTTTGTGGATATGTACAGTATGTATGTAAATGTTAAGTTGTCTAATGTTTTTGTCTATGCATATTTTTGTTTGTCATATAAAATATTACAACAACAAAATGAGAGATACCCCAGGTAAGTCTCTCCCCCCTCACTCCTGAGTGACAGACTTCACATCCCCCTCTCCTCATCTATGGTTTTAGGTGTGCAACAGCACCACAGACCGTAACCATGCCAACGTTCCCTTGGAGAGGTACGTGACGGAGACAGTGATGGCCATCGTCAAGGGCTTCTTTAGCTCCCAGTTCCCTGTCAACAACTCCAACCTGCAGGTACGGCTGGGAGAGAGGTTAACCTTGTACATGGGCATTTAAATACCTTCCCCAGGTCACTTCCAAACGTTGGATTTACTTAAGAGTAGTGGACAGTGGACCAGAGTTGGTCATTTGCGTTTCAATTCAGTCAGTTCAGGCACTTCAGGCAAATGCTTATCCATCTGGTAGGTGCTTGCACAACAGTTTTGAGTGCAATTGAAGGATTTGTTGATGGAGTGTTTTAGTGACTGTTTATCCCCTCCTCTCTCTCCTATGTCAGACCCACCAGCCCATCTTCATCCAGCTGCTCCAGTCCTCCTTCAGGATCTACAACTGCACCTGGATCAGCTCAGCCCAGAAGAACAACATCGAGGGCTGCATCAAAACACTGGCTGACGTGGGTGAGTCTCGCAGCCCGATGATTGCACTTTGACAGGCCTTGACTAAGGTTGGTAGACTGGAAACGTCTGTGATTTTTATAATGACATGGAGACATTGCAAGTATTTTAAATCTCATCCAATAAACCCTGTATGTGTTAGTCTGCCACCACTGTGTATGCAGGCAATATTGAAAGAAAGTAGGCCTATATGCCTTTCTCTGTTGGTTGATTGGGTGTCATGTCAGCTTGTGTCAATGTGTGTGTCTGGGAGAGATATGGGCCCATCTTCAGAAAGCGATTCAATATGGTCTACAAGGCTAATCTGATCTGATATCAGCACTCCTACTTTGAGGCTCCTTCAGTTCCTAGTTATAAAGTCTCCGCCCTGTCTCCTCTCCAGCCAAGGCGCGTGCCATAGCCATCCCGGTGGATCTGGACAGCCAGGTGAACACTCTGTCTCTGAAGGCCCACACCTACAGGGTGGAGCGTGCTGTCAAGGACTGGAGGATCTCCGCACGCACCCGGCTCCGCAAGGAGCTCCTGGGAGGGCCTGACTACAAGAGCATCATCGAGAAGCTGCAGGTGATAACAAACACACACAAATATGCATGCACACACATACGCCACTGGCGGTTCTTGCCGTTCAAGATTAGGGGGGACGGTTTTGTATATTTATGAGCATGGCCTTATTTCTGTTACAGCATATTGGATGACTGTCATTCATATTCCATTCACCCAGTTCATTGTAACATCCATAGGTTTAGGCTACTACATCATACTCGAATTTGCCCTATATAATACCCATCATGAGGTTGCTACAACCTAGCTTAAAAATTAAAGTTTATAATGTAGGTGCACAGGTCGAGAGACAAATTGGAGTGATCAAGGTGACGGAGACAGTGAAACATTCAATACCGCCTTGCACACTCTTGCCTGCATCCAGCTGATCTGGGGTGTAATCATTTGTCCAAAACAAGAGTTTCTATTGGACAAATTCCGTTTGCTTCCATTTAAGAAACGTTTTGCAACAGAATCGGCAGAATGAATACACCCCTGATCACCCGCACACACAGTTCACTTTCATAGAAGCCACATACAGCATCATCACTTTGCTCGTTGTATAATTCCTTCTCGCATCTACACGTACTCCTCCTTTCACCTTTTCCCTTCGCTTGTGGACTTCAGTGCACAACACAACAGCTGTCTCTGACCAGACGCAAAAAACCTCTCCAAGCCAAACCTTCATTCCATGACCGCTAACCGCTACACAGCCTACATCGTTGTTACCATCTTAAAGTTTATAGTCAACAAACTAGAACTAACTCGTAAACCCATAATCCAATCCATGTGTACAATCATGCAGTACAGTGTACAGCAAAATGTTTAGCAGTTACACCGGCGGGCCCGGTGGCAATACATCTATAAAACGAAAGCTTACCTTGACTTGGAAGAGTTGCAGTGTTGGATAGCCTTAGCCAGCAAGCTAACATAAATAGCATTCCTCTCTGTTTGAGTCAGAGGTTGAGTAGGCAAAATTAACTGCATTATCTAAGTAAGTGAAAGGTAAACTAAGAAGGTAAAAAAATACAACAAAATATAGCTAGCTCTCGCACTCTCTGCTGCTTCTCCTTCATTTTTGAAGAAAATAGTTTTTTCAAAATCAAAACTGTTCAATTATTGTCTTTATCTCTCTGAGTCAACGTCTCACCACACTTTAAGTACTGCAGTGCTAGCTAGCTGTAGCCTTTCAGTACTAGATTCATTCTCTGATCCTTTGATTGGACGGACAAGATGTTACTTCATACTGCAAGAGCTCTGATAGGTTGGAGGACGTCCTCTGGAAGTCGTCATAATTAATGTGTAAGTCTATGGAAGGGGGTAAGAGCCATGAGCCTCCTAGGTTTGTATTGAAGTCAATGTACCCAGAGGAGGATGGAAAATATCTGTTCTCCGGCTACACAATTGTGCTATTCTAGATGGTGCTGTTGAGGCTACTGTAGATGGTCATTGCAAAACAGTGTGTTTTAATCAGTTATTTGGTGACATGTAAATATATTTAGTATAGTTTTAAACAATATTTCACTGCGTAGGATTATTATCCTCCCCTTCCTCTGAGAAGCCTCCACTGGAATACACACACACATATGTATACGTGCATGAACACACACACACACACGCTATACTGCTGAGGTATTGTATACATTGTGTCATGTGTCCAGGGTGTGGTGGCGTGTCTAGAGGAGCAGTTCAGTCCTATGGTGCAGGCTGAGTTCTCTGTGTTGGTGGATGTACTACATAGCCCTGAGCTGCTGTTCCCAGAGGCTGCCAGACTGCGCTGTGAGAGTGGGGCCTTCATGTCCAAGTGAGTGTGGCAGAGGTACAGATGCAGTCACAGACACTGATCAGACACACCATCACAAACACAATCTATGGGCTGCATTTACTGAGCATTTACACCAGTGCAAAGTTTGCATTTGGCCGTCCATTGTTCTGGTTCGTGTTTTACTTTAGACTTCCAAAATGTTTCCAAAAATAAATTGTCTCATTTAATATTTTGTGTCCTCACGATTTTCCAGTCATAAGTCATAGGTCACACGTCTGTTGGTGTGCTTAGATGACTTAAAGCCATGGTACTGATGTTCCGCCTGTACTCTTCCCTTTGTCATTCAGACTGATCAAACACACCAAGAAGCTGATGGACAAGGAGGAAAAGCTGTGCATTAAGATCCTGCAGACACTCAGAGAGATGCTGGACAAGAAGGAGGCCTTCGATGAGCCTGTGAGTACTGAACCGGACAAAACAAGGGTGTGTTACATACAGGGTGTTAGGGATGTACAGGACAACAGGAGGATACTGTATCAATACTAGGGTTGCAAAGGGAGGGTATATTACTGGAAACTTTCTAAGTTTATCAGTAAACTTGACAAAATTCTGTTAACTTTCACATTTTGGGGGGCAATTTTATAATATGACATCTAGTGGCCGGTTTTGGGATACTTCAGATGATCACAGGCGTCTGTAATTCTCTGGCCCGCTTTGTGGCCTTATCACCAATGTTCCCTCACATTTTTGGGGGCACTGAGCAAATTGTAGGTCTTGTGAGCAGAAACTTGAACATTGTGAGAATTTTGTGCAACTTCCGGTGCACGTTTACAGTGAACACTGAGGCTGTACCCTTACAGTTTTAGACAGTAGCTAATAGGCTATTGTGGCTATTTGAGCAACAAAACCAATGGAGCAAATCCCATAACATTTTCACGTGGAAATAGCTTTTGATTTCTATGATATAGCCTACAGTAGCATATACTGTATGTGGTGTTCAATGCAGGCCTACATTGCATGAGACTTTTAAAAACGTTTTTACATTATGAAGGGCTTGACATTAATTCATGATTTTTTACTTGGCCTGTAACACCATGGGCAAAATAGGTGACTGTAAATTGCATTGTATTTTGTTTTATGATGCAAGAAACCACTTTACAAAATAAAATGTATTATTATTACCATACAGAGAATTAGACAATGAAGACTACCACTCTGCCTATTGGCTTGTTTTCATATTCAAGCCGGTCTCAGAATACAACACTGCCCCTTTAATTAAGACATAAGCGTTTTACCTGACTGGCTTTTCAAAGACAGATTGAAATGTAGCCTACATGTTTTGTGCTCTTGTAGGAAGCAGTAACTCCCCATTGCTGACCTATACTTATCTATAACTGGGCTAATAACTCGCTAACTAGTAAAGAATATCAACAAATGTGCACACCTGCGGCTCTGCGCTCTGATCTGAACGGATCTGAAAAGCCATTCACTTGCGGGTGATTGAAAGGCCGCTTGTGGGTTACCCCCCAATAGAATTGTACTCCGTTGCGCTCAATCTTGCAAAGTTAGATTTGTTTTGGTTTGGTTTGTTGCATTGAAAAGGGGGCTCATATAATGTTGATTCGATCACAGAAAAAACGTTGATCTATATAGTGCAAACTAATGGGGCGAACTCAGTGAAGTTCAATCTCTTGGGTTTCTGCGCAGTATGGCATTTCTTCTGCGCAGCACTTCTGGAAGAAGTGCGCGAATGCGCACGTGCGCAGTTTAGAGCGGACATTGCTTATCACATATAAAATAATTTAAATAAATAAAACATTTACAATAAAATGTTTTATAACAAAGCTATAAACATTATACTAAATACAGTATCAACTTAGTGAATAACGGTGGTGTTTTAATGAGGGTTTCAACATTAAATATCCTTTATATATATTTTTTACACACTTAGTAAAATAGATGTGTTTGTTATAAATTGCAAAACTGGTGGCAGTTGTGAAAAAAGTCAATTATTGGAAGAGTTGCAGAGTTAATTGAAAATAATGCCATTGTTGATTAGATGCTATTTTCATTAGTTAGGCCATTTTCTCTTGAACTATATGGTCTATCCACCAGAAACTCATGGACAATATGGTCACAGATATAGAAAATGAATACTAAAGTGCCTTCAGAAAGTATTCATACCCCTTGACTTATTCCACATTTTGTGTTACAGTCTGAATTCAACATGGATTAAATTGATACCCCATAATGACAAACTGAAAACATGTTTTTAGAAATTGTTGCAAATTTATTGAAAATTAAATACAGAAATATCTAGATTACATAGGTATTCACACCCTTGAGTCAATACATGTTAGAATCACCTTTGGCAGTGATGACAGCGGAGTCTTTCTGGTTAAGTCTCTTAGGAGCTTTGTACACCTGGATTGTACAATAGTTGCCCATTATTCTTTTAAATTCTTCAAGCTCTGTCAAATTGGTTATTGATCATTGCTAGACAACCATTTTCAAGTCTTGCCATAGATTTTCAAGCAGATTTAAGTCAAAACTGTAACTCGGCCACTCGGGAACATTCACCGTCTTCATGGTAAGCAACTCCAGTGTAGATTTGGCCTTGTGTTTGGCATCTCCCAGTGTGTGGTGGAAAGCAGACTGAACCAGGTTTTCCTCTAGGATTTTGCCTGTGCTTAGCTCCATTCCGTTAATTTTTTTATCCTGAAAAACTCACCAATCCTTAACGATTACAAGCGTACCCATAACATGAGCAGCGACCACTATGCTTCAAAATATGGAGAGGGGTACTCAGTAATGTTTTGTATTGGATTTGCCCCAAACATAACACTTTGTAATCAGGACAAAAATGTGAATTGCTTTGCCACATTACTTATGTGCCTTGTTACAAACATGAATATTTTTAATTTGTTCAGGCTTCCATTGCACTCTGTCAATTAGGTTAGTATTGTGGAGTAACTACAATGTTGTTGATCCATCCTCAGTTTTCTCCTATCACAGCCATTAAACTATGTAACTGTTTTAAAGTCACCATTGGCCCAAAGGGGTATAGTGACTAAGCAACGGGATAGATAATAAATAGTAGCAGCTGCGTAGGTGATGAATCAAAAGAGCTGGTGCAAAAGGGGGTCAATGCAGATAGTCTGGGTAGCTATTGGTTAACTATTTAGCAGTCTTATGGCTTGGGGGTAGAAGCTGTTCAGGGTCCTGTTGGTTCCAGACTTTGTGCATCGTTATCACTTGCTGTGCGGTAGCAGAGAGAACAGTCTATGACTTGTGTGGCTGGAGTCTTTCACAATTTTCAGGGCCTTCCTCCAACACCACCTGGTGTAGAGGTCCTGGGCCGTACGTACTACCCTCTGTAGCCAATACCAAAGCCCACGATACAAAATACTGTGTACTGAGATTTTCATGAATGGATGTATTGTCACAGACTTACAGTAGGTGTCACACTAATGACTTTGGTTGTTGCGTTCATCTTTGGGTGTTGCTGTCATTACCGTTTTTAGAAGGATAAACAACTTTCCCAGTGTAGCAGCAATGTGAATATACCGTATTGTATCAACCACGCTATTTGGCTACAGTTACAGATGAAAGCAAATTAAGTTGAAGATTGGTTGGTTCATATTGCACTGTCATGACTGGACCAGGTGGGCTGACTCAGATCAGTTGTTGCCCACAGTGCTGTAGTCTCGCTCTCTCTCTGTCTCGCTCTCTCTCTCTCTCTCTCTGTGGGCCCTGAGCCCAGACTCCTCATCATCAGTAGTCTGTGGGCCTCTCCATGCTTTTATGTAAGGCAGGGAGGCACTCGAGGACAAGCTCACACTGTGAGGGAGAAAGGGTTGGATAGATGGAGGGAGGGGGGGGGGGGGGGGGCAAATGCCGAACAAACAAATCAATACTGCAGTGAGTGCGGGTGCAGGAGTGCACCTCTCCCCTCCCCGTCTCTCTCTCTCTCTCTCTCTCTCTCTCTCTCTCTCTCTCTCTCTCTCCTGCTCTCTCTCTCTCTCTCTCTCTCTCTCTCTCTCTCTCTCTCTCTCTCTCCTGCTCTCTCTCCCCGTCTCTCTCTCTCTCTCCACCATGGGCCAGTGAATTGGGGAGGGGTTGGGAGGGTGGGGAAAGAGTGGAGGCAGAGGGGGAGTGATATGAGGGGAGGGTTGTTGGAAAAGTAGAGAAAGTTCCAGGGTTGGTGATCAACTCTGGAGGGTAAAGTGAAGCATGTCAGCTGCAAGTCTTAGAGGAGGATAGGGAGATGAGACATTGAAGAGTTTACATACAGTAAAAGTAGTGCTGCCTTTTGAAGAATAGCACTGGCAATAGTATTGAGATCATGTCCTGTTGCTAAATGTCAATCAGTATCATACTCAAATACACACGTGGCTATGCCAGAGGTTGTGCTCTGATATGATATCATTCACAGGGTAAATTATGCAGTCAAAAGCACTGACATTGACATATTGTGCCAAAACATATTGGATATTGGTATGTTTTAAAAAGCCTAAGAATGATGTGTGTGCGTGCGTCCATTTGCATGTTCCGTGAGTGTTTTGAGTGTGTATTTGTCATTCTTTGTGTGTGTGTCATATCCCTGTTGCCCTGAGCGTGGAGCTGCTGTCTCACTCCACAGAAGCGAGCGAGGAAAGAGAAAGAGTGAGAGAGAGAGAAAAGCGACAGCAGAGGTTGGTGGCTCCCCTGGGGCACAGTGAGTGGGAGGAGAAGAGAGAACGAGTAAGAGAGGGAGGGAGCATGTGAGGAGCCATGTGAGCCGAGGGGAAAAAAGCTGGCCGCGGCTACAGTGTGAGGGATTGGAGGAGAGCGGCGTCTGCTCAGTCCATGAGGAGACGGGGCAGGGGGTGCACTTACGTAACCGCCTGCAGTGTCTGAGCCAGCGTCACGCGGACCGTCACGTTCCCTCCCTCCCTCCCTCTCTCTTTCTCTCTCACTCAAACAAGTGTGAGCCTCTCTCCCTCCCTTGCTTTGTCTCTCTCTTTCTATCACAATGCCCTTCTGCCTCAATTTTTTCTCTCTCGCCATCTCTCTCTCTCTCTCTCTCTCTCTCTCTCTCTCTCTCTCTCTCTCTCTCTCTCTCTCTCTCTCTCTCTCTCTCTGGGTCTCTCTCTTTGGGTCTCTCTCTTTGGGGTCTCTCTCTGGGTCTCTCTCTCTCTGGGTCTCTCTCTCTCGGGTCTCTCTCTCTGGGTCTTCTCCTCTTTCTTCTCTCGCTGGGGTTCTCTCTTTCTCATCTCTCTGGGTCTCTCTCTTTCTCTCTCTCTGGGGTCTCCTCTCTCTCTCTATGGGTCTCTCTCTCTCTCTGGGTACTCTCTCTCTTCCTCTGGGGGTCTCTCTCTCGCTCTCTCTGGGGTCTTCTTTCTCTCTCTCTGGGTCTCTCTCCTGGTATCTCTCCGGGTCTCTCTCGCTGGGTCTCTCTCTGGGTCTCTTCTCTCTCTCGGGTCTCGGTCTCTCCTCTC